AGGTGTCTCTCTCTCTCAGCAATGCATGTCTCTCAATGTCTCTTTCTCAGCAGCGTGTTTCTCTCAGGAGTGTGTTTCTCTCAGCAGCATGTCTTTCTTAGCCAGCAGCCAGAGAGACTTTCTGCCACTAGGAGGGCTTCTTTTGAGCCTGGAAGAGTTGCCAAACTAATCAATCCCAATATCAGAGTTCTACAAACCTAAAAGAGCAAACTTCCTAGAAGATTGCTTCATGCCACTCTCAACAGAAATACCCCAGGTGGATAACTTTAACAATCAGGAGCTACTCAGTTGCTCAAGGAAAATTTCACCACGGGGTTTACAAAGACTTATGGATAGAAAAGCCATACCAGGTGATTTACTACACCACAAGTTTGAACCCACCCGACGTTCCGTGGGAGAAAGATGAGGCAGTCTACTTTCATGAAGATGTACAGCTTTGGAAACCCTACGGGGCAGTTCTTCTTTGTCCTGTAGGGTTGCTATGAGTTGGAATTGATTCAGTTGCAGGGGGAGTGCTATGATTTTATCACAGTCACACCAGTTGCTGGGTGGCATGAATGGTTAAGTACTCAATAACTAGCCAGATGTTGGCAGTTCAAATACACCCTGACGTTGCCTGGCAATCTACTTTCAAAAGATCACAGCCTTGAAAACCCTATGGTGCAGTTCTACTCTACACACATGGGATTTGAGGTCACCATGAATTGGACTTGACTCTTTGGCAACCAACAACATCATAACCACAGGGATATTAAGAAAATCTGGTTTTCTTGTTGGGATTACTGTTCCAAAGATACAAACTGTAATCTAGACTTTAAATTGTAGTGGATAGCTTATCATTTAAGGTTATGACAGATAACCTTGGAAATAATTTAAGTCTGTTTTTCTAATTAAAAGATGAAAATGATTCTATAGATCTAATTAGCTTATGTAAATGTTTAAATACTGAATCTTGAAATTGAAGGTTTAGAAGCAGTGGTGGAAACCAAATAATAAATCAGTATTTTTAACAAAAAATAAGCAAGTTTTCATCAAGAATCTGTGATATTTTTTCCTTTACTTACTTTCTACCGATATGAATGAAGTGTACCATCTTCTATATAATATGTTGAAGGACACTACTGCAGAAAATTACTTTTTATCCATTCTACAGCATTTTTTGCTCATCAGAAATGATTATTATATCAGGTAAGAGGCAATTCTGAAAGTCTGATGTTTATAATTTAAATTGGATATTAAACGATAAAGAACAACATACTGGGGCCAATATGGTATATGCATAGATACCCAAGAGGAGTGTTAACAGATTGACTTTTTTAGGTAATATATATTTTTTAAAGTATTCATTTATTTTTAATTGGACCAGAAGAGAGAACCTACTTACAAAATTGGGGTACCTTAATGACAGAACTTTCAGTAGCAATGGACCCAACAGACGTTGTCCTTATAATGAATTTTCATTACTAAATAATGGTTCTTACACATTTTAATACGTATAGCTTTTATTTATTTTTCCATGTAGTAATAGATATGATTTTAGCTTCTAAGAAAATAATCATTCTAGTATTTCAGTTTCATGTCCACTATTGTAATTCTTCAAAGTAAGTACGATAATGACTCATAAAGTTAGAACTTTTAGAGTCTAGTAAGTAGAAATATATCTGAAAACCAAAACATTAGAAAAAGATCTGACAGTAACTAAAATTACCCATCAGTTGATGACCACAATCTTATATTTAAGTATGTTCAAGGGACACTTAGTTATCCAGAGGTAACTACAGTGAGGAAGTGGGAATAGATCTGTTATGTTGTGGGGAATTGCAGTCAATGTCATGAAACAAAATGTGTATGAACTTCTGTATGGAAAATTTGCTCTGTGAACTTTCACCCAAATCACAATAAAAAATAAAAGACACTTAGTTGTCCTTTATATTCATTGTTTCTTAATTTATATGAAATTCTGTCATATTGGGTTCTCTGATTCCTCAAATTCTGTTCAATTAAAGAAAAGATGCAGAAAAGATGGTAATGCGTTTTAAAGTTTTAAATTTTTGTTGTTGTCTAATTTAAGTTGTGGCAATTTAAGGCATAGTAAAGAGCCCTGGAAGGAGCTCTGGTGTAAAGTGGTTAGGGCATTTGGCTGATAACCAGAAGGTCAGAAGTTCAAAGCTACTAGCTGCTCTGCAGAAGAAAGATGAGGCAATTTGCTTCCGTAATGATTTACAGCCTTAAAAACCAATGGGAGTCACTGTGAGTCAGAATCAATTCAATGACAGTGAGTTAGTTATTTTTTGTTTTTTCAAAAGGCACTCTGGTAGCACCATGGTTAAGTGCTTGCCTGCTAAATGAGAGAGAGGTCGGCAGTTTGAACCCACTAGCTGCTCCAAGGGAGAAAGATGTGGCAATCTGCTTCTGTAAAGATTATGGCCTAGGAAATGCTATGAGGCAATTCTGTTCTGTTACATAGGGTCACTGTCAGTTGAAATAGACTTAACAGGAACAGGCTGTTACCATGGATAATCAGTAACCTGCAGAAATAATTTGTGTGAAATTTTACATTTCTGAGTAACTCTGAATAAATGAGAAGTTATTCTTTCATCATATCTTTTTTATCCTGAGAACATCCATGTGAGATAGAGATAAGAAAAGCACTTTTAATCCTTTGATGATTAAGATGGCCTAAAGAGAACAAGTCTGTTTTCCTTATTTACCCAAGGAATTGACTAGACTGAGATTACAATCTGGTATTATTTACCCTAGACCTGATGATGACTTGAAACAGGCCCCAAGGTATAATATGTATCACTATGTATTCTTATTCTTAGTTTTGTGATCAACCCCATGTTTAAACACATAGAAGAGCAATTAGTTATTAGGTCACTGTATTTAGGGATGTTTATGTCATAATTAGTGGTGATACCACCTCAGAAATCCAAGAAGGAGTCAGTATGAGTCGGCTTCAACTGTCAGCAGTGAATTTAGGTGTCATAATTTTCTATAGTAGTACTACTGAAAATTTCCCTTCTGTTGAATTTATTAAAACCAAAAGAAAACTCACTGCTGTAGAGTCGTATCTGACTCATAGTGACCCCTCCTTGGGTTTCCATATCAGTACAGGTGTAGATTGCCCAACCTTCCTTCCCAGGAATTGCTGGTGGGTTTGAACCGTCAGCCTTCTGGTTAGCAGTCAAGTGCCTTAGGCACTATGCCACCAGAGCACCTTTGAATTTATTAGCCACTGACAAAATAATAGATTTCCTCAAAATTTTAATATAAGAAGTGCTTTTTTTTTTTTTTTGCAACATGCAAGTGATCATGTTTAAAGCCAGAATTACATTGATAAATTGCAAAATTAGGATATGGTTTAAAATGCTTGACACTCTAGACAAATTGAGGCTCTAGCCATGCATACTAACCATGTATACTTCTGTAAAATTGATCTTTTAAAATATGTATATAAATAGATCTTTGTAATAATCTCTAACATAAGTGGCTCAGTCCAGTTTTGTAAGCCATTATCTCTATGTTGAGTAAAAGTGTAGTAGTAAATTCAAGATGATGTTTTCCACCTCATACCAAGATTTAAAAAAAAAACCAAAAACTGCCATGGAGTCAAGTGCAACTCAAAGCAGCCCTCATTGGTTTTCCAAGGCTGTAAAGCATTACAGAAGTAGATCTCCCCATCTTCCTCTTGTGGAGTAGCTGGTGGGTTCAAACCACTGCCCTTTTGGTTGGCAGTCCAATACCCTAGGGAGCTCTGGTAGCATAGTGCCTAAGCCACTTGACTGCTAACCAGAAGGCTGGAGGTTCAAACCCTCCAGCCACTCCTCGGAAGGAAGGTTGGGCAATCTACTTCCGTAGAGATACTGCTTCAGAAACCGAAGGAGGAGTCTCTCTGAGTCAGGTCCAACTCGATGTCAAACAACAACAACAACCCAATACCTTAACCATAGTACCACCCAAGCTTCTTAATACCAAGACACTTATCCCTTTGTGAAATTGGGAACTTGTGTTTGAAAAAAAAATTGAGAAATTATGGAAGCCTAGAACCATTTCTGTATCCATGGATATAGGGCTACTTGGTCACTTGTTCTCATTAACTTTTAAAAACAATAGCTTACTTAAGTAGATAATGTTGACAAATATCTTAAAACACACACATGAATCTCAACAAACTAATGTATTAAGTCATCAAGTGTTCACCCTTGATAATATCACAATGAGTTTTATACTACAGAGTTCAGACCATCTTTAGGCTTGTTGTTGTTGTTGTTATGTGCCATCAAGTCGGCCCGACTCATAGCGACCCCTCCTTGGGTTTCCGAGGCAGTATCACTACAGAAGTAGGCTTGCCCGACCTTCCTTCCGAGGAGTGGCTGGTGGGTTTGAA